CCGCCCCAGTGACAGCTTTTGTACCTTTTTTTCTGAGAGTGTGTAAACACAATCATGCTAACAGCGTACTTTAAATGCAAAGTAATATATGTTAAACATTTGTGTTTAATGCATATCTCCGTTTTCCAGATTCACGTTCCCAACAGCTGTGAGTTGGGTTCCCGCGGTGAAGTGGTCGAGGAGGCAGAGTTTGACGATCTCGTATTCGTCCGTGACCCGGCCGAGCTGAGGAAAGACCCACACACGTGCTTCTTTGAGGGAGAACATCATGCACATGGATCACAGTGGACACCGCAGTACAACACCACTCTCTCTATGTCTTTCTCTCACTCTCACTCTCACTCACACACACATACACACACTCTCTCTATGTCTTTTTCTCTCTCTCTCTCTCTCACTCACACACTGCTGTAGCTTTGATGTACGTATCACTTATGTGACTGAGGTTAATTTTGCATATGATCTGTTCGAATCCCTGCAGAAGAAGACAGTGATCTGTGATCCTGTGATCTGTCCCGCGCTCTCATGTCCTCACACCATCCAGCCTGAAGACCAGTGCTGTCCCATCTGTGACGGTGAGTGATGAATGAAATTAATATCATTTGTTAAAATTTTTGATGTTCATTTAAAAGTAGCACATTTATGTGTTGAAATATTCAGGTTTTAGACATAAAAAAAATATATTTGTCTTGTTTTTCAGTATATGTAAGCACCCTTAAAATAAAATCAATTTAATAAGATTTTATATTATGAAAAATGGCTAATTGAAAAAAATAATGGGGTAAGAAATACATATAAAAATGCATTTTCTTGCAATATCTTCTGCAATTTCGCTTCTCAAGTAAAGTTATTTTGTTTTCGAGGATGTTTTACTGGAAAACAAGACAAAGATCAAGAGTGTAGTGTAAAGATTGTTAGCTTGGACTATAATAAAATGCAGTAATATAAAAATACATATTTAATGTTTCCTATAAAATTTGTATTTGAACATTGTGCTTGATTTCTGTCAAAAGAAAAGAAAGAATCCAAACAGACGACTGCAGTAGAAAAAGTTGAAGAAGATCCAGAAGGTGAGTTTATATGAAACATCAAAACATCTAAACATCACAGCTATTATTTTAAATGTGCAGCAGTATATTAAGATGTTTATTTGTCCTTTCAGGCTGTTATTTTGAAGGTGATCAGAAAATGCACGCACCTGGCACAACATGGCATCCGTTCGTCCCGCCATTCGGTTACATCAAGTGTGCAGTGTGTACCTGCAAGGTAATTTAACAAACATTATAATACACAACACAATTATTATGTTTTAAGCATAAAAAATACCAAATTTGTACAGACATGAACATTAATAGTTAACCATTTTGTTTTGTCCATCTCAGGGCTCCACAGGAGAAGTGCACTGCGAGAAAGTGACGTGCCCGCCTCTCACCTGCAGCCGACCAATCAGACGCAACCCTTCAGACTGCTGTAAGGAGTGTCCTGCTGAAGACACGCCCCCTCTGGAGGATGATGAAATGATGCAGGCGGATGGAACGCGCCACTGCAAATTTGGCAAAAACTACTACCAGAATAGCGAACACTGGCACCCTCGTGTCCCGCTGGTGGGAGAAATGAAGTGCATTACCTGCTGGTGTGATGTGAGTTTCTCTCTGTTTTATTTTAAATTTCTTTTAAGAGCATTTTGAGAATTTAAAACAAGATGCCACAGGGTAACAGATTTCACCATACTTCCCTAGTTTATTGATTACATTAAGAAGTGCAAACATTTTCTGAAATGTATGCAAATGAGGTATTATTTAATTTAATAATCTGAACATTGGATAAAGCCAGGTTAAAAATTTGTTGTTTGAATTTGTTGACGTTTTTACAGAGGGGATTTTGGACCTCTCTTCTCTTTTTATCACTCCATAAATCAGAAAATACTGACAACAGCCAGGGGAAAAAAATTTCACCATGTTTTTAGGAACAAAATGTTGTATAAATTAGTGTGAATGTTATATGAACAAACCCCTCTATAAAAACCTTCAGAATATAGAGAGGAATAAAACTCTAAGTTTTGGTGTATGTAAGTGCTGCTGAAATGGAGGGAAAAAACTCAGCACCTTTGAAAACATGCATTTTCACCATGTTTTTAGGAATAAAACATTCTGTAAATCTGTGTGAATGATATATGAACAAACCCCTCAGTAAAAACCTTCAGAA